CTCCCCAGCAAACGTGCCAGATATGGGGCCAAGATATATAAGACCTATGAGAGGGCAACAGGCTATACATATAAGTTTTGGATTTACAAGGGAAGAGATGCCCAGACTACATGGGGAGTAGTGGCAAGATAGTTTGGGACTTGATGTCATCCTTTTTTTTCATATGGGGTACTACTTATACATGGACAATTTTAATTAAAGCGTACCACTATTTAGACATTTGTACAATCTTGGAATTGGCGCATGTGGCACTGTGTGACCTGATGTGTGCCCACCATTAGAAGTTGGCGGATGCAGGGCGGTATATTCTAATGGTGGTATCACGTACCTGGTGATGGAGATCAATGGAGAGAGGGCTTCCCTTGCGGCTAAGTTCCAGACTCCCCTGAGAGTGGGGCAGCGTGAGTCAGGCCCAAAGTGGCACAGGTCGCCTGTAGGAATGCTGGTTGGTGGTCCACCCAGAAGCACAGCTGATGTACAGAGATAGGTCTGCAGACAGGTGGCGCCTGTGCGAGGTAAGCAAGCCCTTCCGGAATTTAGAGATTTACTGGATAGCTGGTTCAAGCCAAGTTCAGGTACCAGGTGGGAATCAGAGCAGACGTAGTAAGACTGGATAGCCGAGGTCATACACAGAGGAGCGAGAGAAAGAATATCTGTAAGCCAAGCCGAGGTCAGATCAGGGGTTGAGCAGAGTAGACAGGTCCAAGTGCAAGCCGAGTCGGTATCAGGAAATCACAGGTCACAATAACACAGGAAACAGGAACAAGGCACGGGGAGCTAGAGATCATCCAGCAACTTGAGGAAGTGATGAGCCTCCTTATAAAGGCCATTTGGCACTAAACTAAGGCTGATGTGTGTGCTTCTGCGACCATACAGGGTACTGGCAGAAATGCCAGATCTTCCAGAACTTCTGCCATGGGCATACCACACACTTTTTCTGGCAGAGATTTCTTATCTTTTTTTCATTCAGCCCACAGGCTGCATTAAAAAAAAAAGAACATAGCATATATACCCAACAAGGACCAGCAACGTCATTGGACTTTGAATGGTTATACCAGGATGATGCTACAGCTGCAGGCATCATTCTGGTACAGTTTTTTTCAGCCGGAGATTGGCTTTCATGTAAAAGCAATCCTCATGGCTAATGAGCTGCAGTATTGCTTTTACATCAGGAGACAAAGCCCCCCCCCCCTCCCCTTCCACGGCCTTCTCGGGCAGTGCCTTCGGGGGAACCTGAGAATGCAGCCGGTGTTTCTGCCAGTTGACCATAGAGCTGATTGGAGAACAGAATGGTGCCAATCATCTCTATAGTCTAAGAAATCAGAATCTACAAGCATTTCATCACTTCAGTTTTGCAGGATATAAACAGCGCCATTTGTAAACTGGGAAAGCATCTGATCACATCAATCTTGGTGAGATTAGATAATGTAAGGGCAGAGCAGATATCTAGAGTCTGATAGACCCCTGATTAAAAGATACATAATTAGTGTTGCGCTAACTCATATAAACATAATAGTCCATAAACAGATTCAAATGTAATAGTTCAATCAAAATATGAAAAATAAAGTGCTTGAATGGTGAAAATCAAATAAGGTGCTTGAATGGTGAAGAATCACTATGATGTGCTCCAGATAAATAAAGTCTATTTGAAAAACACAGTGCTCCACCTTGGCTTAGTGTTCCTCCACCTAAAAATATATATGGATGGCCTCTCACCTCCTACCGTAGACCCATAAATTAATTAATACCCCCCTTAATAACCAGGCCTCTTTTTGCTAATCAGCGCTGCACTAATTCAACTGATAACTGCGCGGTCATGCAATGCTGTACCCAAACAAAATTTATGTCCTTTTTTTTTACACAAATAGAGGTTTCTTTCGATGGTATTTAATCACCAGTACGCTTTTTATTTTTTGCGCTATAAACAAAAATAAGATTGAAAATTTTGAAGAAAAACAATATTTTTTACTTTCGGCTATAAAAAATACATAGTGGGGGCGCATGCGCGACCTACAATGATGGCGGACACTTAATCCTTGAGCTCCACCCATCCATGGCCTTCCCGGCTCTCCTGCTCTCCGCCATCAGCTCCTCAGCACTCTGAGTGAGCCATATAAGCTTCGCACCCTGCCCGGCATCTCAGGGGGATACAATGGGGAAGATAGGGCGCTGGAAGCCCCTCTCGCCGCCGCAGCAAGATCCCCGGCCCACACTGCTCCAGCACTTCCTTTCTAGGCCGCAATCCCCGACCTTGAGTACCACTGCGAGCCCGTGGAAGAGCTCCAGACCCCTGGCGGCGATGGGAGGTACTACAGTTCACAGTACAGGAGCAGCTTGCAACCTCAGCTTATGAAAATCCTCAGATGGAGGATCCTGGGTTCCTGGAAATGGGGGGGGGGGGGCAGTAGACCACCCTTCTACAGGGCATTCTTCATCACCATATTCTGCCCCTACATCTCAGCATGCCTCATCTTCCTCTCACAGTCTCTTCATTAGATGACAAATTGCAAGTATCTCTATGCAACATCACTGCTACTATATCCACTGATGTTGGGAAGTTGGCCTTGGATCTTAGGGGGGAAATAGCCCATGTCGGAGACCGCAGGGATCAATTAGAGAATAAGTTTGATGAATTGGTGCAATACGTCCATGTTTTGGAGGAAGACATCGCTTATCTGAAGCATTCCATGTCCCAAATTCAGCTCCAACAAGAAGATTTGGAAAACAGGGAATGCCACCAGAACATCCGTATTTGCGGTATGTTCAAATCAATTGTTGATTCTCAACTCCACCAACATCTATTGTCCTTCTTCACTGCAACTGCCCCCATGGTTCCGGCAGCGGATTGTTGAAGGCACTAGACTAGACGTCATAATCCGCTTCCATTTATTTTTAAAGCAAAGAAGCCCTGTTATCCTCAGTCCGCAATAAACCTTCCTTGGAATTTAAGGGGGACAGACTCCAACTCTTCTGTGATTTCTCTCTGATTACCCTGGCCAAACGGCAGGCACTGAAACTGATTACCACACATCTTCAGCAGAACCGCATCCCTTATTGCTGGGGATTCCCCTTCAAGCTGGTCGTTTCTAAATATAACACCCAAGTTATTTTGCGTGACCTTCATAAGGCAGACTCTTTCCTAAAGCAGCTGGAACTCCCCCCTCTACCGCAAGACGCATCTTCATTGCCACCTACCCTGTCCCGTCCTTCCGCCACCCCTAACAAGATTTGGACACCAGTTTGCTGGGGCCAGAAGCAAACTCTCTCGCACCCCACAAAACTCACATCCTCCTCGATCAAGTGATGCGCCTACCTAACGTCCTTCTGGGGTGACCTCTCGTGGATACTCCGGAAGGCTGGAGTAGCAATTCTGATTTGGACGCACTGCTTCCTTCGAGTCGTTTCCTCCAAGGTCGACCAACGAGGTCGTTTCATTATTTTGGAATGTATGCTTGGTGACACTCCCCTTGTCTTGTTTAATTTGTATGCCCCGAATACGGGTCAATTGCAGTTTCTTTCACGAACACTTGCCAAGTTGGGTTCCTTTTCTACACCACATGTGATTATTGGGGGTGATTTTAATCTAATCATTTCCCCCCATAAAGACAGGAAGGTTCTCTTCGAGACCACTCCCTCAAAGCGGCAATGTTCCTCTTCAAAATCTTTTTGCAAACTCATAAGGGAGCATCGTCACTTTGACGCCTGGCTGATTAGACACCTTTTTCACAAACAGTTTACTTTCTACTCTCCACCCCTCGTAGCTTTTCCCACTTGGATCATTTCTTCATCTCCGCCCCATTGCTCCCTCTCCTGGTTTCATCTAAAATCAATCCTATCACGTGGTCCGACCACGCTTCCCTAACTCTGAAACTTTTTTCCCTAACGTTATGCCGAAAGCATGCCACTGGCACCTCAATGAGCCCTTTTTAACTACAGACCATCTCCGAGACGAGCTTTCTCAAGGATTAGATATGTATTTTCACCACAATGTTGGCTCAGTAACCTCTACTTTGACTCCGTGGGAAGCCCATAAGGTGGTATTTCGGGGACTCTGTATAGAGATGGGCTCTCGTTTGAAAAAATCCTCAGCGAGTGCCAAGGCTTCCCTCATCCGCCAATTATCTTTGGCTGAACATCGATTACTTGCAAAACCGTCTATTTCTGGGCATCAAAAGGTGACCTCTCTTCGTGACCAAATCAAGGCCCTTGACTCATGTAAGTCTGCACAATCCCTCCTTTGGGGCAAACAAATTCTATGAATTTTCTAATAAACCACATCGCATGCTCGTTAATCGACTCAAAGCACAATTTCCCTCTACGCTGCCAGACCATCTAACCGAACCGAATGGGGACCCTACCTATGACCCCCATGTAATGGTCTCCCTTTTTGGCTCATATTATGACAATCTCTACAACTGTTTGACCCCAGATTTTCATCCCCCCCTCACAAAAGCTTCCTTTGATAGTTTTTTTGATCCCCTATTGTTACCTATTGTCACCTTCTGACAATTATTTGACACAGACAAACATCTTCCCTCCCTCAAAACCCCGGGACCAGACAGACTGCCCTATTCTTATTATAAGACCTTCACTGGTACTCTGGCCCCTGTCTCTCTGTCTGGAACCGCTAGCTACTGCCATCCGGTTCAACCCCGATATACGAGGGATACATTCCCATGGTGATGAGTACAATGAGAAGTATAGACTTTAACCACTAGCCTACAGGGCACTTATACCCCCTTCCTGCCCAGGCCAATCTCCAGCTTTCAGCGCTGTTGCACAATGACAATTGCGTGGTCATGCAACACTGCACCCATATGAAATTTTATCATTTTTTTGTGACAGATAGAGCTTTATTTTGGTGGTATTTAATCACCTCTGGGTTTTTTTATTTTTTCTTAAACAAACTAAAAACCACTGAAAATTTTGAAAAAAAAAAGTCTTAGTTTTTGTTATAAAATTTTGTAAATAAGTGATTTTTCTCCTTCACTGATGTGCGCTAATGAGGCTGCACTGATGGGCACTGATAGGCTGCACTGATGGACACTTATAGGTGGCCCTGATGGGCACTGATGAGGAGGCACTGGTAGGTGGCACTGATGGGCATTGACAGGTATCACTGATGGGCACTGAAAGGCAGCACTCATATATGGCACTGATAGGCGGCACTGACTGGCACTGATAGGCGACACTGACTGGCACTGTAAGGCAGCATGGATGGAAACTGATAGGCGGCACTGATGCACACTGATAGGTGGCACTGATTGGCAACACTGAAAGGTGGCACCGACTGGCACTGATGGGTGACATTGAAAGGCAGCTCAGATGGGCACTATGTGGCATTGATGTGGCACTGAAATGTGGCACTGATGGGCACTGAAATGTGGCACTGATGGGCACTGGCAGGTGGCGTGGATGAGCACTGAGAGCTGACATTGACAGGTGGCGCTGCTGGGGCTACACAGATCATCAGGGCACACTGATCAACAGTGCTCTAATTATCTGTGTACATGTCCCCTCAGAGGAATGCCGATTACTGGTTCTCCTCTCCTCTTGAGCTGTCAGCTCTGTACTGAGAACTGAACTGGGCTCTGTACTGAGAACTGAGCGATCAAACACCGCTGATCACCGGGGTCAGTAGGGGGCCCCATGAGATGCCCCTGGTACCTTTTTCATAGGCTTTTTTGAGTTTGGGCAAGGACACAGGGGCCCCATGATCACCTATTGCCCGGGGGCCCCATAAGTTGTCAGTCCGCCCCTGGTAGGAAGAGTAGGGGATTAAAGTATTAGCTGGGGTCGGGGTAGGCTTCCCTGAAGAGATGGGTTTTCAGAGTGCGCCTAAAAGAGAGTAGAGTAGGCAGTAGCCTGATAGATTGGGGTAGGGAGTTCCAGAGGATGGGTGAAGCCCTTGAGAAATCCTGGAGATGAGCATGGGAGGAGGAGAAAAGGGAGCTAGAGAGTAGGAGGTCCTGCAAGGAGCGGAGAGTACGGTTTGGGTGGTATTTAGAGACAAGGTCGGTAATGTATTTAGGGGCAGTGTTATGAGTGGCTTTATACATCAGTGTTAGTGTTTTGAATTTTATCCGCTGGGCAATTGGGAGCCAGTGGAGGGATTGGCAGAGAGGGGTGGCAGATACAGACCGGTTAGTAAGGTGAATGAGTCTGGCAGCAGCATTCATGATGGACTGGAGTGGGGATGAGGTAGGCCAGTGAGGAGGGAGTTACAGTAGTCAAGACGTGATATAATAAGGGAGTGAATGAGTTGCTTAGTGGTTTCCGAGGTTAGGAATAGTCGTATCTTGGAGATGTTGTGGAGGTGAAGTCTACATGAATTTGTCAGTGATTGGACCTGCTGCTGAAAGGACAGATTGGAGTCTAGGATTACACCTAGTACCCTGGCGTGAGGGGTGGGACTGATGATAGTGTTGTTGATCTTGATGGAGAAGTCGGGGGGGGGGGGCACGGGCCAGGGGGAATACCAGAAGCTCATTTTTGGAAAGGTTGAGTTTGAAGAAGTGGAGTGACATCCAGTCCGATATGTCACTTAGTAGGCTGGTGATGCGATTGGAGACTGAGGGGGTGAGGTGAGGGGTAGAGAGATAGATTTGTGTGTCGTCGGCATAGAGATCGTAGTTGAAGCCGTGGGAGTTTATCAATTGGCCAAAGGAGGAGGTGTAGATATATATATTGTATATACACATATACATATATGTATTTAATGTATACATATACACTCGCCAGCCACTTTATTAGGTACGCTAGTGCCAAGAAAATATCCCCCACACCATTACACCACCAGTCTAAACCATTAGAGGGCAGGATGGGTCCATGCTTTCATTTTGTTTACAACAAATTCTGACACTACCATTTTAATGTCACTGCAACCAGTCTGCCCATTCTCCTCTCATCTCTGTGCTGTTCCTTCTGAGCCCTGTGCCGTAAACAGTGACATCATCGTGGCTCAGCCATTTATACCGTTGAAGCCCACAAACCCAAAAAGAGCAGGTGAAGATGGAAACGCCTACTGTGGAGGGCTTCATTTTCAGGTAAGTCTGTCATAGTGTGCTAGTATGCATCACATACTAGCACATTGCGACTTAAACTGCCCAGGGTCCAATTTTTTTTTTTGGTTCTGCTGCTGCGGTTTACTACTGCTTTCAGTGTGTTGTGGTACATGCACTTCCAGGATAGTTGTGGTGCAGCCCCATTCTTGGTGACATGCCATTTAATTTTGCAGTCATTTAAGATGGCTGTAGATGATTACTTTATTTTTCATTCAGCAAGTAGGCTCACAATTCTGGATGTCTCCTTACAGTTCTCTTCTGCCTATCACCCTCAATCAAATGGGAAAATCAAGAGAGGCAATCAGTCTCTAGAGCAGGCGTCACTAAATGGCGGACCGGGGTCTGGATGAGGAACCAGTTACTGTCCCATCTGGACCCATGCAGTCCTGCCATTTAAGAACCTTTTCTTCTCCCAGCTATCTTGTGGTCATTCTCACAGAGCTGACAGAAGGAGGCAGGACACATAGGGTTGGAAAAATTGCTCTAATTTATTGTATTTAACTTCACCAAGGTCCAGGCAGTAAAATTTGCATGCATCAGAGGTCTGAATCTCATGTAGGCCCCTGTTGTGCATTTTCATGTGCTCCAAACCACGTGTTGCTGCGGTCGGGGACTTCTTCAGGTTTTTAGCAGATAGTGCTGACATACCCACAACGTGTGCACCAAATGCACATGTACCTGTTATCATATCAGTGTCCTCAATCCGCACTGCACATCACAGTCCCCTCCTTGTACACAGCAAGATCCCTCTTAAGGGGTGTCCTCAGCTCCCCCTTTACATCACCCCCCCACCACACCTTTCACAGTAGTGATCACACTTCCTTGAAATCAACCCCCCCAACAGTACTATCCTCTGCCCCCTTCACTGAAGAGTACTCTGCCCCTTTTTACATCATCCCCCTACATTACTGTCCTCAGCCCCCCTCCATGTTACTGTTCTCAGCCCCCCTCCATGTTACTGTTCTCAGCCCCCCTCCATGTTACTGTCCTCAGCCCCCACATTACTGTCCTCAGCTCCCACATTACAGTTCTCAGCCCCCACTTTATAGTTTTCAACCCCTCCAACATTAATGTCCTCAGCCCCCCTAACACCACACTCCTTAGCCCCCCTCATTACTGTCCTCAGCTCCTCCTTCACACTAATGTCCTTTTTCCTTAGCCCCTTTAACCTTCCCCCACCCCACTGTCCTACCTTACACAGACAGTGATTGACAGACAATGATTGATCGCTAGGACTGCCCTTCATCCTAGCAACCAATCACCTGCTTGTTAACCTCAGGCAGCTCCCACCCTCCATCCAGAACTGTCCTGCCTCCTTCTGTCAGCTCTGTGAGGATGACCATGAGACATCTGGGATAAAAAAAGGCTCTTAAATGGCAGAACTGCATGGGTCCAGATGGGACAGTGACTGGGTCTGCATCCAGACCACCATTAAGTGATGCCTGCTCTAGAGATTGATTAGACCTGGGGCAGTTTAAATCACAATGTGCTAGTATGTGATGCATGCTAGCACACTATGACAGACTTACCTGAAAATGAAGCCCTCCACATCTTCACCTGGTCTTTCCTCCGGGTCTGTGGGCTTCAGCGGTATAAAATGGTTGAGCCACGATGATGTTTATGGCACAAAGATCAGAAGGAACAGCACAGTATGCTGTTCCTTTAGAGCACATGCGCCGGTGATGTCACCAGCTGCTTCTAAAGTAAATATCTCCTAAACTGTGCATATTTAGGAGATATTTACTGTACCTATAGTATACCCCCTCCTCACCACCACCAGTCTATAGCTCTTTCTCCATCTTATCTCACTAACTATGCTAGTTCAGTTACCATTGCTGTGTACATTTTCTTTGGTCTTTTTTTTTCACTCAGAGATTGTCTTATTTTAACATTTTGCTAAAACTTTGTGCATCAGTATTTCTTGAACCTTGAAGAAGGGGGTACACCCCGAAAGCTTGTCCTGAAAAATTGTATGTTAATGCAGATAAAAAAAGGTATCACGGACGATACTCAATTGTTTCTGTACCTATAGATAAACCTTTTTATAGGCTTACCTTTAGGTTAATATCAACCAAGGGAGTTTACTTCCACTTTAAAACAAGGCAGGGACTTTTTTTGTAGCAGACCACAGAATAAATCACAGATGGTTTCCACAACACTTAGGTTTGAATCCAACCTTAAACGGTTTATCACAAGATCTGTAGTTTGGTCAAGAATGCAGACCACAACAAGAAAAAAAAAAGTTCAAGCTGAAGAATAATAAAGGAGATTTTATTTTAAATATTTCAAGACTGGTGGCTCCAAATCACTTTTCTGACACTTTGATACATAAAGCCTCAATTTTCACAATTTCTTCATAGTATAGTACCTAATAACTACCATAGCTACCAATCACGTTATATTTTTACATACTGTAAGCATTAGATCATTACATTATATAAGCTAGCGGTCTAATATTTATCACGATCATTTTATAGAGATGTAAAATATTTTCCTTACCAAGAAAGTAAACTGTGCCTAATAGTAATAAGCAAAAATATACAGCATATAGTATGTTTCTTAAATGTATGAAAATGGGAGGGAAGGGATGTCTTCTTATTGACTGCACTATTTAACTTATCTGCCCCATGTGAAGGCATGAGGATGCACAGGTGTTTTGTTGATGTCAATTGGGATGCAGCAGCTTCATGGACACAGAAGCTGCTCCCAATCTGACATCTGTGTGGGTGCATGGCCCACTGGTTGTGTTTGGGACCATGCACCCACACCCGCATGGATGTTAAATTGGGAGGAGCGTCTATGACCATGCAGCCACTGCATCCCAGTTGACATCAATGTGACTGCCTGCACTGGGATGTACAGAACACCTGTGCATCTGTATGTGGGCAAACACAGCCCTCACATGGGGAACTAATTGATATGCCCAGTGTGAATGAGGCTTTACATGAACGATAGCATCTATCTGCCCACAATCTCTGTTCATATTGTGACACTTGTCTTTTTTACTCCTCATTTGCACATAAATAAAAGATTAACAAGCAACATAACTGATTTGAATAAAGAGTTCTAATTCTTAAGTGCTTATTTTAAGTGGAGTAACTAATTAAATTACACTGATAGGCCAGTAAAATATGGGTTATTGATTGTTGTGTGCTACTGTATTTTAGGGTTAGGACTTAGGTTGAATATTAATGTAAGAGACATGATTGCTAATTTTATCTGTATTGATCATTCACAACTCCTGGATGCTAATAATATCTTCCTTTAGTAGTGGTGTTTACTGTATTTTGGTTCCAGTGTTTACATATGACTTAAGTCATGTGTT